TGATCTCAAGTACTTGCTTTTTTAGATGATATTACTCAGAATTGTTTTTTTTTTCCTTTATTAAACTTTCCATGGTTCCGTCACCATCGTCCATTGCGGTCGATTGTTTGCGTGTGCTTGAATCAATTCACACCTGAGCGACACTACGCGGCTTAGGGGCAGAAAAAAAAATTGAGTTGTATTCAAAACCACCTAAACCTATTGCAGATATGTATCAAGCAAACGTAATCCCGGTGTTCCTAGTCTCCAGTTCAACTGTTATTTATCTCATTCTACATCACCTGTACTAGCATTTGGCCTTTATTTTCCTTCTCCCCTAATTTGCTCCACGCATTGCGCATGTATCCTGAACGATTTCTGTTAGTCATGCACACTGACCGTTTCTGTTCCATATCTCAACTCTATACAAGGTCCGAATTGATTGTGGATTATCGCAGTCGTATCACGNGTTCACACTTTGAATCGTGCTCAGCATAAAGCTACACGCCTTGTACTCACTGTTTGTCAATCCACGTGCTATTATCACCTCCCCATCCCTAATAAGCACGTATTTCGGACTGCGAAGCTTACGGATTTGGTTACTTCGCTACTCCTGTTTACTCGCTAGACCCGAGATCAAAAGCGTTTAGCTACCTTTGAAATCCGGTTGGAGGACAAGAGTTCTCCAAAATTCACAGATTAGTGGAACAGTTTTTTTCTGCTCTCTTTTCCACCTTCCTGTAATCGTAATCGTAAAATCAATAAGTTGTGTTTGTGATTAATGTTGCGTTATCTGCACTGCCTTTATCATTATGAAGTTTATCACTCTAGTGTACCTAATGTGCAACTTATTTTGAGTCCTACATCATACAAGGAGAGAAACAGGAACGAACAGTTCGAACGGTGGTGACGCGTGACCGGTATCACACATTCAGTGTACATTAAAAGAATCTTTTATTTTCAACTTTGAGGTGAATACGATTTGAGAAACAGTGCTCTTTTCTTGCGGGACTAGTAGCATTATATGCGGCAAGTCGTTTGATCTGAACGTGAACGTGGATGAAAAGGTGTATCGCTTAATGAAGTGTCGGCCAAGATATGTTTGGCACCTTCAAAATACTGTTAAAGAACTGGGTTTGTCTGGAACGCAACTACACTATAATTGGTGTGCATAAGTCCTGCTACCGGATCAATTATATTTCGAGTAACGACAGACAGACAAAGGATTCGATTGACGTTTTACCAACACCAGACACCATGGGCGTCGCCACAACATTCAGTTATCCATCAATAATCGGATATGTCCTCTGAAAGTCAGGCAGATGAGGCTGTGCTAAAGAGACATGACCATTACATTTCCGTAGACAATCAAACAACGCTGTCTACAGCCTCACTGCAGTTCGCTGATGAGACAACCGGATAGGTAATACGAGATTAGACGAAGAGTAGGAGGTATCCGCAGTTACGCGCTAACGTCAGTGCTTAGTGTGCATTGCAGCCTTCAATCGGACCCAAATTGTCCATGCAAAGATTTCCTCGGAATCACATTATTGATTTTCGTATTAAAATTCTTCGTATTCATTCAAACCAATGAATGTTCAGCTCACAGTTGAACAGGCGATGGTGCGGGCAGTGAATGACTCGACCACCTGTCCGATGGCTTATCGGAACAATGCATCCGATGAGTTCCTTACGTACTAGATGAACTTCGAGATGTGCTTAAACCGACCAGTCAAATCATTCAGATGTAAAAAGGGAGCCCACATGTGTGACAAAACAAAAAAACTCACGAGCGAATCACAGCAAGGTAGAATGGGACCCCGGGAAAATAGTCATCTTGTAGTTCATTGTACGCAAGCCTGGACGGAAAAAATGGGCACGATACAATCAGATGAGAAAACAATAGACCACAAATGGGCATAGTATGTATATAATTTTAGCTACAAATTGTGCAGTCACTAAGCTTTCGCCGGACGGTTTCAGTTGCTTTCTCCGGAGTAAACGGACGAAGTAGGCAGCTGGTAGTATTCATGGGAAAATAGTGAATGTGAGTAGAACAAGGTTGTGAACAAACTGAATAGATACACGAACATCAGTTATCCAGTGTCTTAAACCATCGATTACACTGATACCGAGATCCCCCAACCGGGAAGCCGAACATGACTGTAAACAAAACATTTTACCGATTTATCTATCTATTATTCGAAATATCTTTGTGACTGAAAACTTAATAAAACTGCAATTAAGATTTGAAAGAGAAATTACTTGACAGCTCAGTACCATACATCTATCGAGAGAGGGGTGGCACCATCCTTTAACAATGATATGGCGAACTGTCACAATGAACGCGTAGTTACTAACTCTAGTAACTTGACGTCAAGCGTTTAGAAAACGAGAGAGAGGAGGCAGATAAATATCTAAGACGCAGTGGGTCGAATACTAACGGATGTGCTCATCCATTGTTGAAATGATGTCTTGATACTGGAGTAGTGGGACGACCGGCACAATCTATCCCATTTGTGAGATTTGCGTGGTGAATGGGCTAGATGGATCGCATATCTTCACCGCTGATACACCCCTTCTCTGATGAAACATGATGCACTCTCGCGGTCCCATCTTGATCATGACCCACGGCAACAGTGGTTAAAATGGATTCGTAACGAAAACGTTTTAGAACAGCGAGGATATGGGATGTGTTTGTGTGTAGTAGAAGCAACCTTTTATCGAATATTACCAATAGATAGCACATACCAATCGCGTTAGCCAAATTGCACAAACAATTTTGAGGAACATATCACAGAAGTGGGCGTAATGAACGGTATTAGTAGGGGTCCCCCTGAAGTCCCGAGGACTTTACTTTCAGTTATACGGGAAGGTGAACCACCCAATATAGTTTCTAGAAAGTGGACGTAGTATCGATCTGGGTGTAAAAGCTGTAGTACCAAGTCTATATTTGATACCAAGACAGAACAGAGTGTCGAGACACGTCAAAACTCACTCGCAGCAAAGCTTTAACAAAGACAGTAACCGAAGCCGTCACAATATAGTACAAGGTTAATAGTTCTATAAACTGAAACGAAAAGTCCAAGATTGATTGCACTTGGTGATACGCTTTATGTGATTAAACAATCAAACGATCACATTTGGTTCGGATACTGTTTCTCAAGTTTCCTTTGGCTATGCGGTTTAGGCAATGTCTTAGGCAGAATCACTTCCCGGGTGGGAAAATGAGACGGTTGAGAGAATGCAAAACAAGGAACAAACACATGGTGCCCAAAAACTATAAATTCAATCTCACATAAATCGTAGGTGGCGTTCAAATGGGACGCCCACACCGTGGTTGGTTATTGTGCTGTCACAAGTCACCTATCGGGCCAGGTCTATCACAACAATAGACCAGTGGAAATGAAGTATTTTGTTGTCACAAATGAACCAGTGTACTTGATGAGTAAGCGGAAATGAAGATTCGGGTTGGGCGAGGGATCTGAGTGTGATTCCCCAAGGATGTTAAGCCCTTGGGTGTTGATCGAATGCGGTTCAGGCGGAATGAACGAACCCGATACCAGGGAATCCCAACCAATAGGGCATAAAAGTTATTCATGATCACCATGCTCAGGCACATGAGTGGATAACCGCCACTGCATGCATGAGTTCAGTTCGGGCTCTCAATGGCGCAGACAATGAAAGTCTATTGAGTCCGTTAAGGAGTTAGTTATTCGAGAACAAAAAGGTTTCAATTGAATTTAAGCAGTTTGAATTGTGCCACCATACGAGGAATAAGTTGTGAAAACGAGGGGTCAAATAGCACGAATATCCAAGGTCCTAACTTCTAGAGTGTGTAGAGTTCAACCGTAATGGGATAACTTGTGACTATCCCGCGGCGACATCTAAACTGTACGCTTTGTTTCCTCAGGGCACAAGCCGCCCGTCTTGATTTATCAACATGAGCTATTATCGTCATAGTAAGCAAGCACTGCACAATGATCGAGTGACGTTTTTGTCCTTGGAAATGTGAATCGTCAGATTTTTTCAATTGCAGTTCACCGCCCCCCCTACGTCTAATTTGCTATGAGAGTGAATTCGTTGTTTCATTCGAAAAGTCTACAGTTCAGTAGAATCCACCGAGATGGGAATCGTGCACTTAGCGGTTGCAATCCAGGGAGCATCTGAAGGTGCCTTTATATCAATATGCAAGTGTGATCGCGTTTTTCAAATAGTCAGCCGTTTTGTTCTATTGCCCAACGGTTATTTAGAAGAGTATAAATGAAGTGATAAAGTGTGGAAACCATGGACTTGTGCCATACAGAATATGATGTGGGGTGTGATCCAAAAACCAATCGGTAGAATCTGTTGTGAAAGAGAGAAAAAGTCGAGTAAACAATTGAGTCTTATCGGTCTACCTTTGCCATACATCTAACGCGGCAGCCAAATTTCCTTGCCATTGGTAGATCAGGGCCAGAGCATGGTGTGCTTGGGCTTGTTGCAGGAATATCACCAAATCATCCACATCAATGTGTACGAGGCTGGATATGAGTTGTATCAGATCTTCGGCTGCCGTTGGACTCGCATCTGATCGATCATCGGACAGTATACGTAGCTGACTTGTCTCCAAACGATCCGCGGGCAGAATCAGCTCGTTCAAAGTCGGTCGCACGCCACGTTTGGACAGTTTCAAATACAATTTCACCAGAGCGGTTTCCAAAAACTGAGGTGAATCAAACAGATGAGTATTTCAACGGAACAACTTGCAGGCTCATTTCGATATAGCGTTATCAGAGAAAAACAGTGCGAGCACAATCACAGAATGGTCTATCAATCACCAGAAATGGATTAGATACAACGTCGCCAGTAGCCTCCAAAAGCCTCAGTGTGGTTGGGGGTGGGTGTCTAGGGTTGTGGCTGATTACCCTTCCCTTGAACCTAGCGAAATGCTCTCATTCCACCAATTGTCGCGAATAGCCTCTGCTGAGGAAGCCCTACTCACTGCCTTCTCGTGGCGGTGTTTTCCACCAAAGTGAGAGGACGGAAAGCCGACAACCGGGGCTACAGTCGGTTTGGTGGACTACTGGTAGTTCACCTAGGGGAATTGGCCAAAAACCCTGATTCCAAACCAACCACGAGGAGACGTACGAACCACATCCACAAATTCTTGGTTGTGGTAATGGTCACCGGCTCGATGGGGCATCGAGGTGTATTGGGCACCTTGAACGTTTGACCCCGTCCGAAGGGCGTATGATCCGATGAACTGGACAACGGCCCCCAATAAATTGCGGTTTTCACACACTGCCCCGTTGCCTCGCGGGTCATGCTTTGGTTAGCCGAAGGCTACTGTTGTGGATTCCTCAAGAAAATTCACCTGCATGGGCCTGGGCAATTTGGCAGTATTCAGCCCACATGCAAGTCGTGGAACGTTTTTCTTTTTATAAATATTATTGTATCATGATTCGTTTGGCACAGTCTGGATTTAGATGTGTGGGAAATATATATACATATATTCCCGGTAAACTCACTCCTTGGAACATTTTCGAACTTTTAGTTTTCATTATGGGATTTTTAAAAGTCAAACGATCTAGACCATTCAACTGTAACCGTAAACTTCCGTCCACAGCTCAAAGTTCACCAGGTTATTACAAGCTTCACGCTACCAGGCAGGTCTCAAGATCGCAGATGGAGCGACTGTTTCGATGTTGTTTCATCGAATAAGCAGTCGCGGACAAGCAGCGGTGATGTCCGAGGGTATGACTGGTTTCTCGCTCGGCGAATGATCTCTGTCTGTCTGCAATAAAAGATCACATGTCCGTAGAAATCACCGTCACATTTACAAATCTGACTTAGCATTAAACAAGACTACAGTCAATAGTACATTTTTATTAGTTATTACGTACATTTGTGTGGTGAACAACAGACGGGGCGAACCCAACAGTCACGAAGACCTACTGCTCCGTCATGGAAACCGGTAACCTAGACCCCGGGACTTGGAACGGCGAACCACATAAGGCCCCAATAGGTTAGGCATGGTATTGAACCGGAAGACAACAAAGCTGCCTACCACGAAAGTTGAATGATGGTGGCGGGGCTCAAACTTGGGACCATAGCGTCCAAAGCATGCCAGTGCCGGCGACTAAAACACTGAGCCACCACCATCCAAATACATGGATGTATAGAGGTGCACTCTGGAAGAAACAGGCAGAGTTACTGGAGACTTCGCTCCATATTATACCCGCAAAAATTATCCGTACACTCACTCACCCAGAACCGAATTATCCTTATGTAGGATTAAGTGGACAGAAATAAAAATAAGATGAGCCATACAGATCGCTTACTGTATCGGTCTGCAACTATACTTTAACCACCAAACACTATTACTATCCTTACTCAATGCTTCACCGTTTTCATGCTCATTGTTGTCGTGTTGATACCACGCGCGTTCCCGAGCAGGTAGCGAGAGGATGTGTGTGAGGTTGTTGTTGTTGTTAGGGTTATATTATTTCTCTAACAGCTTCACGGACTAAAACGGTTTGTTTGAGATGGAGAACGGTATTTGTGGTTTGGCTTTCAAAAACCCGAGTCACATTCAGAAGATTACCAAGCAACAAATCGTGGTATGATAGTCTTAATAACACCGAAATACACCCATTATTTGCTGATGGACCCAATACTGCAAGGTTGCTCGGGCCAAAGTAGATGAATTTTCTCAGGGGATTCACAACCGGCTAGCCAAAACCATGAACCGCCGCATGGCAGCGAGGCTGTGTGAAAATTACACTCCGTTGGAGACCGGTGTCCAGTTCATTGGACCATAAGCCCTTTGAACGAAGTCAAACATCCAAGAGGTGTACCAAAATTCAATACCCAATCAAGCCAGTGATCAACACCAGGACCGGAAAGGTGCGGGATGGTCTGTAAACGTCTTTTTGGTTAGTTGGGAATCCATCTTTTCACTAACTGCTCCAGAGGAATTGTTAGTGCGTTTGTGTAGTTCGTACACCTGCTTGGTTGGTTTGCAATCGGGGATTTAGGTCTACTCCCTTAGGTGAAATGTCAGTGGTTCACCGACCGGGCTATAGCCCCGAGTGTTGGTTTTTCATCCTCAGAATTCAACGGCAAAGCGGCTCCTCCACGTAAAGACAATCTGTGTGACTTCCCCAGCGGAGGTTGCTTGTTGTATAGGAGCATTTCGAGAGATGTAAGGGAAGGATGACCCTTCAAAACCCTAGACACCAACTCCCTAGCACACGGAGGCTCTCGGAGACCGGACAAAATTCGAATGAATACTGCTTTTCCTTCAAATATCCTCCGAAGAGTTCACTCGGACGAAATAGAACTTTTTTCATCGGTGTGTGCTCCCGTGAAGTATGGCATGGACCTAAGTTTTTGCCATACATTTAGCGAAGCGCTCGCTGTCTTTCGACAGGGCAAGTCAAGTCAAGTCAAGTTAGTTAAGAACCATCCACACTGAACGGAACACTAATCGCAATGCTCATAAATTTACGTGAGACTACAGCCTGATATCCAAAACAGTGGATGTTTGATTGCTGTTTAAGAATGACCAGAGTACGGTTATCTCACATGCATAGTTAACTGAATGAAGAATGTAAAATGACGAGAATGATTATACAGTGAGACTTTTGTGCTAGGAAAGATTATATGCTGATTCCGTGTCAACTGTCTACGATGAACCATACTATGGCCGATTAAGGCTTATCGAGCCATAGCAACAAATGTGCTGCGTAGCTGATAAAAAGGCAGTATGAAGGCTGATTGACCTACTTTCAATCGCGATTGGAGAGAAATCGGTAAGGTTGTAAACGAACTTTATTGAAAACTCGGCTGTGGACTAAATGCCAGTCTAATAATGGAACTATTACTACAGAACTAACTCAATGTTATATTTTGGTTTCCTCTGAAATCTCAACTACAAGAAAATAACGAGGTAAAGAACACAGCTTTTATTTGAACAAATGGGATGAGTATATACGAGCTCCGATAGAGAATTGACTTGGAAATATCATTCTGACCCACTATTTACATTGCATTCTGGTTGACTAGTGAACATAACGAGGATTTGGTATCTCAATTCTATCCTGGAAAACGTGATCGTTTTAGATGAGAAAGCTTCAATTTTATCTATTCTGAATATCAAGCTCATTGTTAGTCGGTACAATGACCAAGTCACATGGCCGTTCACCGCCAGGATTATCAGGTGGCTTCTTGACCCAGAACATGAATCGATCGCTTAGTTCAAAGACATCAACTGGGCCCCCCAGTCACATTGTCCGAATTGAGGGTGGTCGCAAATAAAGGAATGGTATATTAGTGTGACTAAAATTCATCGAATGACGTGACTGATTGCGACCATGAAAAGTCCCGGCACAGCACTTTTAAACAAATCCGCCATCCCCAAGCAACATCGGAGCCCAGAGGCCGGCGACACACGAGCAAATCAAGCAATACCAACTCACGAAACATGCGAATCTAAGGCTTATGTTCCCATGAATTTACTGAGCGATTACACAATGCAGTGGGCTCTTAACCGCACTCTCTGCCTGATCAACACTGGGCAAACCATACGTGTGAACGCATACAAATTAGCCACACAAAGTGATGTCTTCTGGGATCTGATTCGGCAGACTAGCGCAGATCTGGAAAATCCCGTCAGAATGAAAGAAAAAATACGATCAACCAGCATCGGAAGTTCTCGATCAATACGATTGATCAAACATATCGAGAGATGGAAATCACTCGGACGAATCAATTCGAACACGCTCCTGATCGACTGTCCCAGTCTGCAGGCTATCTCGGACATCTTGCTGGCGGTGCACTTTTGTCACACCGAGCACTGCCATATTGTCAATCGAATTCCAACAAATCCAGAGGAATGGATTGAAATTCTTCTAGAATGTGATCAGCAACGCCACGAAACAGATGAGCCGGATAGTGGTAGTGGTCGCAGGGGTACTGAATACGATCTGATCTATCGTACAAACGAGTGGATACTCTGCACGGGGATCTCGGTGTGCACATTGGGCTGTGCACTGCGTGTGGCGAACACGTATAGCATAATACGACTTCGAGAAAAATGCTATCGATTCATTGAAACCCATGTGAATTTATCCAACTGTTGGTACATGTGGAGAGCAAGTATTGTGAACATCGGACATCGAAAAAATGTTCCACCAACCCAAACACTTCAGACACTGGATCCCATTGCAACGGAACTGGTGGAGAGATACATACTAACTAATATCCGACACTTTATAAGACCTGCAGTTCATGATGGGAACACAGGCTATCAAGTTGGATTTCAAACGCTCAGTTGTGAGGAAATGGAATATTTTCTCACCTCGAACGAATTAAACGTTCGTAAAGAATCTGAAGTGATTCAGGCCATAGATCAATGGATGCAAGCCCCAGTAAGGGCGAATGATACAATATCTTGTTTTGTCTCTACTCCACGCCTACTGACCCAATGCGTACGTATCGATCAGTTGGAATTGAACGATTTGGAACGCATTTACGAATTTCCCTGTTTGAAGGACCGATTAAGGTTCGGACAGATGACCACAAACGACATGGCCGATAGTCATTCGGAACCATACGACCCTCTGGTATGGAAACAGATTCAACGTTCACGAGTTCAATGTCACGCCGCATTTGGACAAATCAGGCGAAAATTGGTTCGATTCTCACGGAATTTACGCCCTCTTGGCGACCGACCAAAACGGCTCAGTGAAGTGCCTCGCATCACAACAAATCACCGTTCGGAAAGTCAGTCAGAAAAACCAGCAGACAGGTGGCCGATTGGGGACGTGCGAATTCCACATGAAACCATCCTTCTGTTTGGTGGTTGGAAATGTGGTAGACCTTGCCGTGATGTGAGTGTGCTCGATGCCCGACAGAAGATTTGGACCACGTATTCGGCCGACAGCAAATCGGAAGACGAAAAAACTGGGATCACCGCAAACTCGAGTGTGTTGGATCGCTTAGTACTGCCCTATGCTTTGATGAGTTTTGGGATTGCCCTAGTCGGTAACCGATATATCTACATTGCTGGTGGAGAATTGGCCAGTACACAAACCACGAGCCGGATGATTCGATTCGATGTAGCCCAAGCCACAACCGACGTGGAACAGGAGGAAAGCGGATGGAAATTGTGCTCATCACTGCACGAGAGTAGACGAGATTTGGTACTGGTAAATGTTAAGGATATCGCACTGTATGCGATCGGTGGAGACAATAACAGAACGGTGCTTAGTTGTGTGGAACGCTTCCCACTCGATCCACAGTACCGATTTGATGGGCAAGGATGGTGTCTGATGCCTAACATGCTCATTCCACGCGGAGCACCCGCAGCAGATGCATTGCACGATATCATCTATGTTTGCGGTGGCTACACTGAAAGTCGGATGGAATCACTGACCAATAGTTGCGAGGCATTTGATACACGAACTAACCAATGGACATTTATTGAGCCTATGTCCCAGGCCCGATACTATGCCCATGCAGTGTCTGTTCAGGGTGTACTATTTGTCCTAGGTGGTGGTGGTGAAAGTGGCACACGAGGTGGAGCGGTCACTCGTGTACCTGCCCATGCCGGGTACATAAGTACCGTCGAGCGCTACAATCCGGAAACAGCCACCTGGGAGTTGATGCCACCGACAACGGAACGAGCGGATTTCGCAGCTTGTCTGTTCGAAGGTGAACTGGTTTGTTTGGGGGGAGGAGGAGCCACATTTGGAACGGATGAAGTAGAACGATGGACTCCATGGTTGCCGGGATCCACAGAGGCAACTCAGCATCCGAATAATTCAAACCAATGGGCAGCACAGCTCCCACTTAACATTCCGACAACCATGAACGAGGCAAGTGTGCCACTTTGGCTGACACCAAGTTTGATACCATCCACTCAACAGGAATCCTTGGGCTGGCAACCGTACGTGCGATTACCCACACCAGTCTGGGGACATCGTTGTGTTGTGCTGCGTGGAATCGATCGCATCCGACCCTATCTGAATCGTACGGACAAATTAGACGGTCAAACTCGACCAACAACGTGCCGATTAACAACGAAATCCCTATGTGCACAATGTGTACTCATTGGCGGTCATCCGGTTCTCACAGTACTGGAAGGGACATGTGAGAAATCCTGTTCGGATTCTGGGTCTAGTCGCAATCAGATGGACTCCACAGTACTGTTAACCGGCAAAACCCGAGAAGAACAACTAGGCTAAACAATATACGAAACTGTTTGCGCCTGTCACCAAGTCCCAGTGACGGGAGTTTCGGTTACTCTTAGACCCAAGTCTATACACATGCCAGCTTACAGTTAAAAATACACTTGACGTTGGATGTTTGAAACACACACACGTACATACTCGATGTGTGTTTATGCGCGCGCTCACACGCACGCACTAAGTTGTTGTGTAACAGCGTGAAAACACAGATGGGGCAGTTTGAAACACAGTTCCGGTACAACCGCGGAGAAACATACTGTAAACACATGGGGCCCGGAATGGGGAAAACAATGAGAATGCGCCTAGCCAACTCCAAATTGTGTGGTGCATCACCCCTCCCCCTCACTCAGCAGACGAGAAGCGGAATGCCATTCGATCAATTTTGAATGTCATAGGAGGAGTAGAAATCACCTTACACAAGTCCTGTTCATTTTTGTACAACCTTTCTCCATTCCAACCGCAGCTGTTTTCCAACAAGCTCTATCATTCTGCATAGTGTTCCGCTCTTCAAATCCGAATTTACCATAATACGTCAAAGGTTTTTACGGGATTTAATTGACTTTTTTCTTTACGGTAAAGTGAAGAGAATCGAAGTTATTACGGTCACATATGAGATCAGATAAAAAGGATGTAACTGGTGTATGTGGTGCACTAGCACAGCAAAATCGAGTAAACCGAGGAGAATTTCATGAACTACCAGCATTTTCAATGTATAACAAATGGATAGACAAGTTTGAAATATAGTCCTACAACGAATAAAACGAACGCATAAGGGGAGTTCAGTGGAGTTCAATACGTACAGCCACGGGTTCCGCATATTTGTGCCTAGGATTTAAGTGCTAACGTTCGCTCACTCATCCAGTCAGTTAGTGAAGAAAAAATGATAGCAATTGATTGATTAACTGCGTCAACTCGGATGTTTCTATAGAACATCTCAACTTATGTCTATGTTATAATCCGTGCAAAGATGCACATGAACGTGTACGAAATGGAAGCAGAGACCGTGTGTGTGTGTGTGTGCTCGTACACGACAGCTGGGTTCCAGCTAACCAACAATCTGTCATTTTTAGCCGCCAATCAAAAAAAAATTAGTTAAACCGAGGCTTCTACCTTTTAGAATGTATATTACTGAGGTAGCTATACATGCTGCCTGATTATGAGCCTGAGGTTGAAACGCTGCAATAAAAGATTGCTACATTCACTCAGAATGAACCTCCTTAGTACCGTATATTTAGCTATGTTCTAGAAACAATCTAATAGCAAAATTCTGTCGTTTTCACTGCCGCTTAGAAATGGCCGGGACCTGTTACTCCATTGAACTGGAAAACATAATAACAAAACATACTGTAGCATATGTTCATATGGTGATTGGAGTTTTTAACCTGTTCTTAGTCATCCTGGCACGAACACTAAGTGGTCTGAGTGCTACAACCATCACTTATATTCAAACCGTGAATCCAGTTATCATCTGGCGGTTCCCATCCGATCCGGGAGTCTTACGTTCAACCACTATGAGGACAAAGATAGACTGTCGGTGTTTGAACATCGCTGTCCACGCGGCATTGCACAAATCTGGTGGGGCAGCCGGACGAGCAATGCTGAGGTCAGCCGACAAGTTTTAGGCAACCGCAGTCGCCCACNACTGGAGCAAGTGGTCGGCCTCCATAGATTACGTTGGTTGGGGCATGTGTTACGCATGTCACCAAATAGGTTGCCACGGTGAGCGATGTTCGCCGAGGTAAGTAGTGGGTGGAAGAAAGTCAAGGGTGGCCAAGCTAAGACCTGGCACGAGGGTATGAAAACCCTGACCAGGAGTTTAGGTCACACAGGTCCCGTTAGGCTCTCTGGCTGGGGACCTCGGAATGGTCGTACCCGATGGTTAGAGACACTGAATGATGTGGCTGGGTGTCGTTAACAATGGCGTTCATGCATTTTCTCAATTTCTCTGTATCATTAATCTATTGAATTTTTCAATTTTCTCTTCGATCTTATTTTCAACTATTCCTGTCTTTCATTCAAATGGGCAGCCGAAAGATAGCAACCAAAACCGGCGCATTATAGTGCATGGTTAACAGTTGTGCAAACTGAAACTGAAACTATGAGGAGAGATTGTGATCATTGGGACTATATTCTGCACAGTACCGCCGAACTCGAGGAGACTTAATTTTGACGTATCAAATAATGTAGAACCCAAACCATCCGTGTCGATCGCTGCTCATGTTATCGAAAAATGTACACCTAAGGGGACACCGTTTCAAACTACTGATTCCCAGGTGTCGACTGGATTGCCGGTGCCAGTCTTTAGCTGTCAGAGTATGCAGATCTTGGCACACCTCACATTCGTACACCACTAAAAGCAAACGGAAATTAACTGTTGCCTACGTTCTCTATTATCTCCTACCCGGAACTCTATGTAACTCCTTTTTCAATGTGTAATGGTTCATCTGTGTAAATATTCTATGGGACAAGAGAAGCACGAGCTTGTGAGTTATTCCAATGATAAAAATTTGACTTTGACTTTACTTTCTGTCAGTGTTAATATCGAAAACCAATTTGATGCATGACATTAGGAAAACGGGGCTACCTTGTGACCACTAAAAACACACCGTCGTCGGCTCTGTTGGTAGGCTTTGTGCTGTTTTCATACGCTAAGAGATGAGTACAATATCACCGCGTCTGAATGACGCGGTTACTGTGTCACATACAAATCGTGATTTTAAAGAGTAGTACAATCAATGGGGAATACTCAGAGAGTGAGTAAATTGAGCTGCAGTTGAAGGCCGACAGACGGGGGAAATGATTTGACCCCATACAATTGCACACACACACACATTTTGTAATGGAAGCCTTCAAAGATTTCCCCAAGATCTGCTGCTCAGTGATGGAAACCAGCAGCCGAAGCCCAGATACTTGGAGTGGTGAACCACATAAGGCCCCGCTGGGCTAGGCGTGATATTGAATCGGACGACAGTAAACTTGCCTACCACCGAGGTTGAATGGCGGTGACGACCACATTGGACCACAGCGTCCAAAGCACACTGATCACAGTGAATAAACCATTGCTCCTCCTCCACCACCACCAACAACAACCATGCACATCAAAAATCGCAATGGAAAAAGTACGATGTTCCCGTTCCGCGTTTCCTCTATCCGTCATACTGATCGAAGCCACTACCGACTGACCATAGGATCATTCGTAACCCAGCCCAGAGGAGGCAGGAATGACAAACCCTTTTGCATGACACTTCTTCATACATCATTGCTCACGATCACACCAGGGGGAATAATTTTTATGAACATTTCTGATTACCAATGAACAGTACTGTCTGGATCGAAACGTGATATCCGAAGGCATTCCACACAGTTTGGTTTACTGTTAAATGTTTCATCGTTGTTTGAGCTGTTAAAAATGTGCAGCGTCGTTGGGATTTAAATCCATGTGTGGACGCTGTCTACGGTTTTAGACAGCACATGCCCTACCAGCTGAGTCACGGGACCACACCGATAGCTCTACGACTGATCCCACTGTGCAAATTAAATTGTTGTGGTACCCGTTAAGACATTACACGTGAGTGGTAAAAATGGCGTCAACGGTTGGATTCCAATCCCATCGATTTTTCTACAATTTGAACACAAAATATGTTTGGACATCGACCAAAACAACAAAAATAACATTCGCAATATCTGTTGGCGGCCAACCATGATGTCAACAAATCATGTACCTTTCTATTTTTTTTTAAAGATTATTGTACTATAATTTGTTTGGCACAGAATCTGAACTCAGACGCGTGTGAAATACAAGTACAAATAAATGGTGTCAATCAAACCAGAAATGAGGCGATATCTGAGTACATATGGAAAAGATGGAGAAAACAATTACACAGAACAAAAGTGACAAGAACAAAAAGAGATTTTGCGGTATGTTCTACCGTACACTTTTTGGCATTTTTTGTTTGTTTATATTTTATGAGGCCCGGAATTTGAAACAGATACACCGTACAGCATTCGCCCAGCTGACTTCTATTCTGAACCGTATATCTTAGCGTCTCTAACCAACGGCAATTTTCATCCATCAGGCCGTATCAATCGAAACCAAAGATGCACCTGCGCTGAGCTCATGATCTGACCGCCACGGAAGCTTCTTCTATTTTGGCTAGCACGTGCACAGAGAGCACCGACGGTAAGAGAGATGATGGGCAGACATACACAAAACGTAGCCGAGACATCGGAGCTGTTCTAGAGCGATTAATTCGTTGAGAGAACGATTATTAGCACCCAATACTTGCCAACGAAATTTGCCATTATTCAACTG